TCCCTTAAGGCCTACCCCCTAGTATAACTTAAAGTTATACATGTCCACCTTAGCATCTCTTAAGACTACTTAAGGTTCAATATCTCACTATCTGAATCCTTAGGATTAATCCTACCATTATTTGTATTTACCTCCCGGCTAGTATTTTCATACTAGTTGGGTAGATCAAGGATAATCGAGTCCTCAACTCATGTCGTCTTTCAATACCCCATCGAGATACAACCCATAGACGAGCCTTAAGTCACCTTGAATCCTCCCTTAAGGAGTGCCCGGAGCATGACCCGAATTTCATCATCTTCCAGTTATGCTGTCTCACATACAACGCTCCCTGTGGAAACGACCTTATGTTCGCACAGTAGCTATTGCTACAGGAAAGATTTCCACTTATCAAACATCAGTCCCAACTCTCGTGGGATTTCGAAAATAAGTAGTCATCCTTGACTCTAATGTTCGCCTCAAATACCCGTGCTACCCACCCATAGGTGGATGGACAAAATCACTTAACTTCCATTTAGTTTCTCAGAATCTGGTTATTTTCTTGCGAGTTTCTGATACTCATACAATAACGAGTAACATATATGGAGAATCAATTTGGTGTTGTGACCATCACATCGGTCTTATTTGTATCGAACTATATTACTCGGAAATAATCAATCTTGCCCCCTCTTTGGGTAACACATGTTCTTACTACTCAACTTATCCGTTTAAACTTTGGAGCCTAGGGCCCTGCCCTTATTTTCCCCGAGCTTTCAACCTCTCGTGTAATAGCCAACTCTAGTACTTTTCTTCTCCAATATTACTTCTCAAAGATCTAACCTGTGGGGTTCAATCATACTCAACGATATTAGACCTCACATTCAATTTCCTTCATTCACTATTACCGTTGTGTAATAGTGTGTATCGACCGTCATATCCTTTCAGTTTATGAGTGCCCTCTCACACTTACCCAATACGCCTCCGCATTAAGGATGATTTTATCATCCTCCCCGCTCAACTTTAGTGTCCTTAGACCACAAATCAATGTACGACCCATTTACCTTTGTAATGGCACGTTTTAAGGCTCAAAAGACGTACCAGGCTCTAGATATACAGAAGCCATCCGACCTCCCCATAAACTGCCCGGTTTCCTAGCTTTGGAGAATAATCTACCAAAAATTTCCCAAGTGTCGGCCGGTTTCCATGAAAGCCGGCCGATTTTTATACCCAAAACACGGTCTCCGATTAGTTTCCCCGTAAGCCGGCCGGTTTCCATGAAAGCCGGCCGGGGTTTGGCAGCGTAGCTTTAATCCCAAAATTTAATCCAAAAGCCGGCCGGTTTCTGTGAAAGCCGGCCGGTTTTCATCCCCCGAAGTTTAATTAAACTTATTCAATCCAAACGCCGGCCGGTCTTCGTCAAAAGCCGGCCGGTTTTCTCTGCCGCAGGTCAATTCGATTTATTTGTCCTCAAACCGGCCGGGCTTTGCCAAAGCCGGGCGGTTTTGAGCGTTTACAGAACATCCCAATTCCCGTAAGCCGGCCGGTCTTTACAAAAGCCGGCCGGGTTTCGCCGCCGTAGGTTAATTCCAATTTAATTCATGCATAAGCCGGCCGGGTTTTACCCAAAGCCGCCCGGTTTTCGCTATTCCCAAAGATGTTCCTCGTTTTCCCTGCCAAAACCGGCCGGTTTTCCCTTAGGCCGGCCGGCAATTGACCCCTGGAACCTTTATTACTTAAATATGCATTTAAATGAAGTTTCTAATAAGGATTACCTGTACGGTGGTCGCGTCCATGCAAGAATTTGCCTCCTTCCCCGTGTGAACTCATCGTTGAGTTCTTCTTTGATTCCCGGAGTGTATGTTGCTCACATTATCCCCTCTATGTCGTGTGCTCGCTTGAGACGGCCCCGCTAGGTTCATATCCCCCATGGTTCCTTCATTAGCTCCCGAAGTAGTGTTACTTCCCCGTTGAGGACAATGGATCTTCATGTGTCCCGTATCCCCACAAAAGAAACACCTCTTTGGTTCACGACAAGTCCCGTAGTGGTACTTATTGCAATTATCACATCTTCGCACCCTAGAACTAAAGGATTTCCCTCCTTGGGTCACGGGCCCTTGGTTGTACGTTGACGGTGGCATAGGCATTTTAAAACCTCTCTCCACCCCGATATTTTGTCTTTTGCTTTGATCATGGGAATCATTGATTTCCCACACCCTCTTTCTAGCCTCTTCGGCATCCTTAGCCTTCCTTTCTTCCCACAACTCTTCCCCAATAAGGCCTCGTGTCACCACCTCATTAAAAGTCATGTTATTTTGGTACGCCGCCCTCTCCCGCACTTCCAATTTCAACGCGTTCCAGAAGTGGTCGACCATACGGTTCTCATTCTCTGCATATTCAGGGAGATATCTAGCCAAGTCTCGAAACCTTTGCTCCAATTGTTTGACGGTGTACTCGTCACCTTGTTTGATGGTGGTGTACTCCCTCCTCTTTTGATTTACTTCAAAGGAAGAGTAGTATTGTCTATAGAATTCAAGCTCGAAGTTGTCCCACGTGACGTCTCCGTTGTATTTCCCCTTGACACCCTCCCACCATGTTGAAGCTAATCCCTCCAACATTCTAGTGGCAACTCTCATCTTTAGGTTGGGCGTCAATTGCATATCATCGGCTGCCTCATTAAGCCTCTTAACCCAATCATCGGCCTCAGATATATCCCCCGTTCCATCGAACGGTTTACATCCGAGCGCCCTTGCCTCTTTAAGATATTTAGAGACCCTTATAATGGGACTCTCGGTACATGGATTTCTAGTACCCTCTCTATGTGCCCCGCACGCGTCACGACTGCCCCTCTTAGAAGCCACCTGCTCAACTCGCCTCTCTTGGCGTTGGTTCTTCCTTAGTTCACGTTCACGTTGGTATTTTTCAAATACCTGACTAATTCCATCCAAGGAGACATCATTGTCCTCCTCACCAATAGATTCATCACTCTCATCATATGAAGTTTCAGAAGGTTCTGTTTCGGGTTTATACGTTGAGTCTTCTTCGGACTCCCAAGACCTATACTCGGTCTCAAATTGTGCGTTGTCCCTCATTTGGATCCCTTGGCCTCCTCGGCCTCTCCCTTTTCCTCTAGATACTCTAGAGTTTCCCCGGTTGACATGCCCAGTTTCTCCCGGTGCACGCCCTATCCGATCATTCCTAGTCATCATGCCTCCACCTCGCATTTCTGAAAGAAATTTTTGGAATGAGTCATCAGACTCGCTTCAATGTCAACTGACAGATAAGTACTTAAGACACCACTTGGCTCAAATCACCGCCATACCAATTGTTAAGGGGCCCGTCTTAACAATTAGAGACTTTGCAACTCAAGTACCAAAGGCTCTTTCAGCACAAAACTTTTATGCTCATGGTTTCAAAAATCATTTTGAAGAAAACACTTTTGAGGAACTTCATTATGAAGTTTATGGACTAAGTCTCTGATACCATTTAATTGTCACGCCCCGGCCTGGCCGGACGCGCTAACAACCGCCGCATAATCCGATTAAGGCAACCGCAGTTCACCCTACTCGAACCATGCAAGGCGTACATGAATACCATTCACACTAGTACATCCATAAACAATCATAAATAAAGCATTTCAAATATACGCAGCGGAATACAAATACTTTTAAAAAGTGAAAGGCCACACAGGGCGAACATGAGCACGCAGGCTCCCAAATCATTTATAATTTAAAAATAGTCCATGAGAATTATTTTATTTATATCAAAATAGAACTGGAAGAAGCACGAACCACGTCTTCTCTCCATGGATCACCCGAAGCAACGGGAACAGGAAGCAAGCTCTAGCTTCTACCTGAAACTGTGAGGTGGCCTCCCCCGTGAAGGGGAGGTCAGTACTTGGAAGCATTTGACAAGTACAATGACAACTATACTGAATATAATTCATGTTTCAAACACAAGACCCTCAACATAGGGTGATACTATATTATGGGCATAACCTACAGCTACCCCATTTCAAATCACTTGTATAGAATATATATACCAAGTCAAAATAGTCAACCCGTAGGTTCATTTTTTTATTTCAAAACAATTCGCTTTGTATAGCCCTTGGTGTGACACCGCACCCAAACGTCCTTGAAGATTTGATTTAAATATTCAAAGTTTATGTATTGGATTTCTGATTCCCAAACTATTGTAAAACGATTAATGTTTTACGTAATTAATGATCGAATATTGTACTGTTCAAACTCGTACATTAGTGTCGGGTTTTGAAAATACTTATTCGGGACTTATTAATAAATAAAGGAGCCCAACATTATCTAAATAGTGATACATAATCTTTCAAGACAATTTGAGGAAGGTCGGGCGGCCCAAACATTATTTTGGGCCCAACCTGCTAAAAATAGCAAGTTTTCGAGAATGGCGTTCTAGACCCACACGGGGGTGACCCACACGGCTAATAGCCCAATAATATGTATGACAAATGTCAAATAAGTGATAGAATGATTAAAGAAAAATACAAATGCCTATAACCCCATCTTTGGCATTATTGAGCTAAATAATGGGAGTAGGATTTTCCTTCTATAATATCCATCAAGTAAATTATTGGGATGAGCCTACACATATTGGAGATCAATAATGTGATTTAGGAAGTTGACTTGTTCTAAATAAATTAGGATGAGTACAAAAAGACATCTTTTGACAAAGATAAAACAATAGGACCCATTTTCCCCATTTTTGGAAGTATTGGTAGATAATTTGGATCCCAAAATGATTGGGATCAATTGGGAACCACTCCACATGATATTAGTACCTGCAAGACAAATAAAAATGGGTTAGGAGACTTACCTTGGCCGGCCATTATGGAGAAGAGCTGCACATGACTTGATAAGAATCAAAGTTTGGGGCCACCACTCTTATTTTCGCACAAATTGGTGTGCTGTTTGTCTCCTCTCATTATAGGAGCTATCCTCAACCAAATAACGTGTATGAGGTGTCCTTGGATAGATTTTGAAGTCTATTTTTATAATTGAGTGGTCTCAGTTCGAGAGGAGAGAGTAATCATCCAAAAATCGATCTGGAACGAGCAGTGGTCTGTGAACTCGAGCTGTGAGAGTGCTGAGACTGTTTGGTTGATATCTCGAGTTTTACCAATCCAATTAAGGCGTGTGAGATACCAAAAGAAAGTCTCAAGACGAGGAATCCGTGAAGGTCTGGTTTGCATCAATCGGAGTAGAGGAAGGCTTCCAAATCGTCCGAGCAGAACGCGACCTCGCAGGGACGGATTTACTCTTCTAAGTGAGTTGTTAATCCCAAAACCTTTCCATTCATTTTCCAAATGATATGAACGATTGGTGGGACTATTATACACTACTCCAAGTGTATAAAACATCCCTATTAAGTTATTTTATTGATGTAAAGGTTAGATACTAACCTAGATGCAAATATTGGAAAAAACTAGGAATCGAGTTAGCCGGAAAACACCCGTTCTAGGGGCTGTTTTCGTATCAACGATTAGGGGTTGAAATAGCAACTTGAGGAGGCTGTTTAGCACCCATTTCTAAGCAAGGAATCAGTTCTCAAGCTTCCTTGGCCGAGGCTTTAGCCATTGGATCGAGAAGGAAGGTTTTAAAGCTCATTTGAGGTGAGGACCGACATCTAGTTGCTTACAACTTGTAGGTTATGCATGAGATTACCTAAATGCTCAAATTATGTTTTCCATGGATTATGATGATAAATTATTGATGAAATATTGATCTACTTTCCAAAGAATGAAATGAGAAATGATTTGGTAAAGTATTGATAAAAATGGGATTAAGTGAACTATTGTGTGAAATAGTCATTTTATCCATGTGTGAATTGTGTAGATACATAAATGATTATTTATGTATTGCATTGAATGATTAAGTTGCTGCTACATATCTCTAAATATGTAGGGTTATACAAATGGAATATATGATGGATAAGAATAATCTTAATAGTATTGAAATACTAGTTAATGATTGTTGTAATTGTTAAGGGAATTGAATCTAAGGATTTGATTATAATTGATGTACTTGATTGTGATGCAAGTGACAAATTTGATGTAATGTGATGCTAAGACCATGGTTGGGCAGTCCGTAGGGATGTCCCAAAATAGATTATTGATATTACAATTCTAGGCATAGTGAGTGCTTAGGAATTGGGGTCTATGCCAATGTAAGGAGATGTACTTGAGCCCGTGCTCATAGAATTGCATTGGGTAGACATGATGAGGTGATTGTTGTGCATGGTGATGTAGTTGAGTTGGACTCAAGAAATGCACGGTGGAGTAGTTAGCTTATGTTAATTAAGGTGCATGGTGATGTAGTCGAGTTGGACTCGAGAAATGCACGGTGGAGTAGTTAGCTTATGTTAATTAAGGTGCATGGTGATGTAGTCGAGTTGGACTCGAGAATGCAAACATATGTGTTAGGGTTGAACCCTATGTATTGTTGTGACTAGGGGTCACGGGATTTTGGAAAATGTTTTATAACAAACATGGGCCTTTGAGCCGGCTACTTGACTTTATATAAAGTAAGTATATATTTTGAAAGGGGTAATTTGAGATTACGGCCTATACTATATTATCACCCTATTTGAGGGTCTTGTGTGTGAAATACTTGTTGTATATCTATTAGATGCCTGCCACACCAGCACTTTATAGCCCTATAGAGTGCTGACCCCTTCGGGGGCGTCCCACCACCATTTTTCAGGTTGAGGCTAGAGCTTGCTTCCTGTGCTCGTTGCTCGAGAGATCATATAGGAGGGAAGACTTGGTTCGTGCTTCCTCCATTCTGTTTTTTTTAAACATTAATAAACATGCTCATGGATATTTTACTATAGAGCCTGCGTGCTCATGAATAGCCATGTGTGGCCCTTTTGTTTTAAACAATGTTTTCCGCTGCGTTATGAATTACTTATTATGTTTGTTTATGGATGTATACGTGTGAATGATATTCAAGACGCCTTGTATAATATGAATGTGTTGGACTGCGGTTGACTATTCGTATTGTACGGCGGGTTGTTGACGTGTCCGGATAGGTCCGGGGCGTGACAATTAAGTTGGTATCAGAGCCTTAGTCCATAAACTTCATAATGAAGTCTCAAAATTCTCTTTTCAAAATGATTTTTGAAAACCATGAGCAAAAACGTTTTGTACTTAAGAACTTTTTGTGTTTGAGTTGCAAGGTCTCTAATTGTTAAGATGGAGCCCTTAACGATTGGTATGGCGGTGACTTGGCCCAAGAGATGTCTTAAGTGCCTATCTGTCAGTTGACATTTGAAACGAGTCTAATGACTCATTCTAATTATTTCTTTCAGCGATGGAGGGCGATGGTGGTATTATGAATAGGGAGAACTCGGAAGGGCTTGCACCGGGTGGAACCGGGCATGCCAACCGAGAAAAGCCCTTAGGACCAAGGGTGCATGAAATTCTTGAAGCTCAAATCGTGAGTGGTGGTCATGTTAAGACCAAGGAAGAATCACCTTGTTATGGCAAAACTGAACCACTCAAGGCTTCGGGTGACGAAGGAGATGATTTGAGTGATGAGGACCTTGATAATGCACTCATTGAACAAAGGGGAATGGTCATAAATTGGCTTCAATGTGAACGTGCTAGGCTTATACAAAAACGCCAAGCTAGGCAAGCTAAGGACGCACCATTAGGAAGGAAAAGAAAATGGGGAGACCACGACCCCCAAGGACATTCTAGGAGGACAAATGTTGAGGGTGACAAAACCTTCGGGGCACACACATTATCACTTGGGAGGAGTCGAGGCTCGGGTGGCCAGAGCTCGAGGTCAAAAGGTTCGAGAGTACCTAAGTGCACAAATTGTAAGAAGCACCACCCGGGTAAGTGTTGGGACCCTCCTAGGTGCTACCGATGCAGAGAGATCGGGCACACGAATGCGAATTGCCCACAACTTGTACCCGATCAAACTTTGGGCTCAAGTAGTACGACTATAGGCATACGGAGTCAAGCCGGGACCTCTCAAGCAAGTAAGGAACATGGCGGAGCAAGTGTGAGCAACGCGCCGTCTGTGAATCAAGGGAGGACTCACGCTAGAGTCCATGCGATGGCGGAGGCGGATGCTCAAGCTAACCCGGATTCCGTTGCAGGTATCGCCTCTCGTATACTAGTGTTTTATCCTTAATTAGTCCATAAATTGAGGTCACTAATTGTTAGGATCAAATGATCAATGCACGAAGCTTTAGGGTCGAACCAGGAAGATTTCGGACCATTTCGGGCTGTTTTCGCCCAGGCACGGTCGTGCCTAAGGTAGGCACGATCGTGCCTACAAGGCAGTAGGTACCTGCGCATTTCCCCGACCCAGGCACGGTCGTGCCTGAGGCACGCACGATCGTGCCTGCAAGGCAGTGTCTGCCAGTGAATTTTTCCGACCCAGGCACGATCGTGCCTAAGGCAGGCACGATCGTGTCTCCAAGGCAGTAGCGCCCAGGGTCTTTTTCCAAGCCAGGCACGATCGTGCCTACCCCAGGCACGCCGTGCCTGGCACCCAGATTGCCGAAATGCGATTTTTCGCACCGTTTTGCGACATTAAGACCTTTTCTTGATCCCTAACGTGCGTGTGAACATTGTAACCTTCTATAAATGAGTAGGGAGGATAGGAAAGATGTCTTACACGGTTCATGAATGTAGGGACGCTAAAGATTAATGGGAAGGATGCGCGAATCCTTATCGATACCGGGGCGCAACGTTCATTTGTGAATGAAGCGTTCGCCAAGAGATTGGGAGTGCAATCCGCACCATTGATGCAAACCTTAGTGGTATCAACACCACTAGGGGATGATGTGGAAAGAACTTGTTACTATCCATCTTGTGGGGTGGAGGTTAATGGTCAAACCTTGACGTGTGACTTCGTACCGCTGAGCATGATTGAATTCGATGCAATCCTGGGGATGGATTGGCTAGAAAGGAACCATGCTAGGGTAGATTGCTACACGAAGGTTCTTGAACTCGAAGGCAATGATGGGGAGACCCTACGCTTCGAGGGCGATCGAGGGAGGTCAAATAGCTGTATCATATCCGCCGTGAGAGCGAGAAGTATGATGAGGAAAGGATGCCACGCATATCTAGCATACGTGGTTGACAAAACCAAAGAAGAAACGAACATCGATGATGTGAGGGTGGTTTGTAAGTATCCGGATGTCTTCCCTAAAGACCTACCGGGGCTTCCACCTAATAGAGAGATTGAATTTGTGATCGAGGTCGAGCCCGGCACCAAACCAATCTCCATACCGCCATACCGTATGGCACCCGCTGAACTTAACGAGTTGAAAACCCAATTGCAAGAGCTTTTGGATAACGGTTTCATTAGGCCAAGCCACTCCCCGTGGGGAGCACCGGTTCTTTTTGTGAAAAAGAAAGATGGGACACTTCGAATGTGCATTGACTATCGTCAACTGAACAAGGTCACAATCAAGAATAGGTATCCTTTGCCTAGGATTGATGACTTGTTTGATCAACTACGAGGAGCAACCGTGTTTTCGAAGATTGACTTGAGGTCGGGGTACCATCAATTGAAGATTAAGGAAGGCGACATACCAAAGAGTGCTTTCCGCACAAGGTATGGGCATTTTGAGTTCCTTGTTATGTCGTTTGGGTTAACAAACGCCCCAACGGCATTCATGGACTTGATGAACCGAGTATTCCATAAATACTTGGATCGATTCGTGATTGTGTTCATAGACGACATTTTGATTTACTCAAAGAGTGAGGAAGGGCATGAAGAGCACTTGATACTCGTTCTGAAGACACTACGGGAGAAGCAACTTTATGCCAAATTTTCCAAATGTGAATTTTGGCTAAAGGAAATTGGCTTTCTCGGGCATGTGGTTTCGGGATCGGGAATTGTCGTTGATAATAAGAAGATAGAGGCCATTACCAAATGGGAGAGACCAAAGGATGTCAAGGAAATTCGTAGTTTCCTTGGATTGGCAGGCTACTACAAAAAGTTCGTGGAGAAGTTCTCTGTTTTGGCATCACCATTGACGAAGCTCACTCGTGAAGGAGCTAAGTTTGTATGGGATGACAAATGCGAGAAAGGGTTCATGGAACTAAAGAAGAGATTGACCGAGGCACCGGTACTTGCATTACCCAAACAGGTGTGGGGTACGATGTCTATAGCGATGCGAGCATCCAAGGGCTTGGATGCGTACTGATGTAGAATGGGAGGGTAATCGCCTATGCCTCACGACAGCTGAAGGAGCATGAGGTGAATTATCCTACCCATGATCTGGAGCTGGGAGCAGTAGTGTTTGCACTGAAGGTTCGGAGACATTATCTCTACGGAGAGACATGTCACATATATACTGATCATAAGAGCTTGAAGTACGTGTTTACTCAGAAAGAGTTAAACATGAGACAGAGACGGTGGATGGAGTTGATAAAGGACTACCACCTAGTTATTGAGTACCATCCAGGTAAGGCAAACGTTGTAGCAGATGCCCTCAGTCGGAAGAGTTCGTCTGGGGCATTGTTGACTAGTTTGAGGGCACTGAGGGCCCAATTGGATGTATCTAGCGACGGTGCCTTATTGGCACGATTCGAGGTGAGACCGACCTTACTTGATGAGGTCAAGAAGGGTCAAGAGACTGACGTAGAACTTATAAAGGTCCGGGAACGCATGCAAGCGGGACCGGTGGAGGATTTCAGGGGGAGAGATGATGGTCTCTTGTTATTTCGTGACCGAGTGTGTGTACCGTCAGATGATGAGCTCCGAAATTCCATCTTAGAGGAGGCTCATTCATCGCCTTATGCCATGCACCGGGGGGCACGAAAATGTACCATGATTTGAAAGAAAGTTACTGGTGGTCTGGAATGAAGAGGGAAATAACCGAGTACATCAGCCGATGCCTTACTTGTCAACAAGTTAAGGCAGAACATCAGCACCCAGCAGGCTTATTGCAACCACTTTCCATTTCCGAATGGAAGTGGGAAAACGTGACTATGGATTTCGTGGTAGGTTTACCACGGACAATCAGGAACTATGATGCAGTTTGGGTTGTTGTAGATAGGCTCACGAAGAGTGCACACTTCTTACTATCAACATTACTTACCCACTTGAGAGGTTAGCCAAATTGTATGCGGATGAGATCGTGAGGCTACATGGGATTCCTATGACCATTGTATCCGATAGAGACCCACGATTCCTATCACGTTTTGGCCAAAATTCAGGGGTCTATGAGAATGAGGTTGAAGTTCAGTACTGCTTTCCATCCACAGACGGATGGGCAGTCAGAAAGGGTTATACAGATCATAGAGGATATGTTGAGGGCTTGTGCATTGATTGGAGTTCCAAGGGAGTTGGGACAACCACTTAGCACTTGTGGAGTTCGTCCATAACAACAGTTATCAGGCAAGCATCGGCATGCCTCCATACGAGGCATTGTATGGGAGGAGGTGCCGAACACCGTTATGCTGGGACGAGGTTGGCATGGCCAAACTCGAGGGTACTGAGTTGGTCGAGATCACCAAGTCAAAGGTGAAGTTGATTCGAGAGGGACTCAAAGCGGCTCAGGATAGACAAAGAGTTATGCAGATAAGCGCCGAAGAACCTTAGAGTTTAAGGTTGATGACGAGGTATTCTTGAAAGTTTCTCCTTGGAAAGGAATCATTCGATTCCAAACCAGAGGGAAGCTTAACCCACGATACATAGGCCCATTCAGAATTATAGAAAGGATTGGGGCCGTTGCATATCGTCTACAGTTGACTCCTGAATTAGAGAAGATACATAATGTGTTTCATGTATCAATGGTCGAAGTACTTTGGAAGGGCGATCGGGTCGAAGAAGAGACATGGGAAACAGAGGCTTTGATGAGGAAGCAGTATGCTATCCTGTTCGAGTAGAGCTGTGAATTTCGGGGACGAAATTCCTGTTAAGGGGGGGTGAACTTGTGACACCGCACCCAAACGTCCTTGAAGATTTGATTTAAATATTCAAAGTTTATGTATTGGATTTCTGATTCCCAAACTATTGTAAAACGATTAATGTTTTACGTAATTAATGATCGAATATTGTACTGTTCAAACTCGTACATTAGTGTCGGGTTTTGAAAATACTTATTCGGGACTTATTAATAAATAAAGGAGCCCAACATTATCTAAATAGTGATACATAATCTTTCAAGACAATTTGAGGAAGGTCGGGCGGCCCAAACATTATTTTGGGCCCAACCTGCTAAAAATAGCAAGTTTTCGAGAATGGCGTTCTAGACCCACACGGGGGTGACCCACACGGCTAATAGCCCAATAATATGTATGACAAATGTCAAATAAGTGATAGAATGATTAAAGAAAAATACAAATGCCTATAACCCCATCTTTGGCATTATTGAGCTAAATAATGGGAGTAGGATTTTCCTTCTATAATATCCATCAAGTAAATTATTGGGATGAGCCTACACATATTGGAGATCAATAATGTGATTTAGGAAGTTGACTTGTTCTAAATAAATTAGGATGAGTACAAAAAGACATCTTTTGACAAAGATAAAACAATAGGACCCATTTTCCCCATTTTTGGAAGTATTGGTAGATAATTTGGATCCCAAAATGATTGGGATCAATTGGGAACCACTCCACATGATATTAGTACCTGCAAGACAAATAAAAATGGGTTAGGAGACTTACCTTGGCCGGCCATTATGGAGAAGAGCTGCACATGACTTGATAAGAATCAAAGTTTGGGGCCACCACTCTTATTTTCGCACAAATTGGTGTGCTGTTTGTCTCCTCTCATTATAGGAGCTATCCTCAACCAAATAACGTGTATGAGGTGTCCTTGGATAGCTTTTGAAGTCTATTTTTATAATTGAGTGGTCTCAGTTCGAGAGGAGAGAGTAATCATCCAAAAATCGATCTGGAACGAGCAGTGGTCTGTGAACTCGAGCTGTGAGAGTGCTGAGACTGTTTGGTTGATATCTCGAGTTTTACCAATCCAATTAAGGCGTGTGAGATACCAAAAGAAAGTCTCAAGACGAGGAATCCGTGAAGGTCTGGTTTGCATCAATCGGAGTAGAGGAAGGCTTCCAAATCGTCCGAGCAGAACGCGACCTCGCAGGGACGGATTTACTCTTCTAAGTGAGTTGTTAATCCCAAAATCTTTCCATTCATTTTCCAAATGATATGAACGATTGGTGGGACTATTATACACTACTCCAAGTGTATAAAACATCCCTATTAAGTTATTTTATTGATGTAAAGGTTAGATACTAACCTAGATGCAAATATTGGAAAAAACTAGGAATCGAGTTAGCCGGAAAACACCCGTTCTAGGGGCTGTTTTCGTATCAACGATTAGGGGTTGAAATAGCAACTTGAGGAGGCTGTTTAGCACCCATTTCTAAGCAAGGAATCAGTTCTCAAGCTTCCTTGGCCGAGGCTTTAGCCATTGGATCGAGAAGGAAGGTTTTAAAGCTCATTTGAGGTGAGGACCGACATCTAGTTGCTTACAACTTGTAGGTTATGCATGAGATTACCTAAATGCTCAAATTATGTTTTCCATGGATTATGATGATAAATTATTGATGAAATATTGATCTACTTTCCAAAGAATGAAATGAGAAATGATTTGGTAAAGTATTGATAAAAATGGGATTAAGTGAACTATTGTGTGAAATAGTCATTTTATCCATGTGTGAATTGTGTAGATACATAAATGATTATTTATGTATTGCATTGAATGATTAAGTTGCTGCTACATATCTCTAAATATGTAGGGTTATACAAATGGAATATATGATGGATAAGAATAATCTTAATAGTATTGAAATACTAGTTAATGATTGTTGTAATTGTTAAGGGAATTGAATCTAAGGATTTGATTATAATTGATGTACTTGATTGTGATGCAAGTGACAAATTTGATGTAATGTGATGCTAAGACCATGGTTGGGCAGTCCGTAGGGATGTCCCAAAATAGATTATTGATATTACAATTCTAGGCATAGTGAGTGCTTAGGAATTGGGGTCTATGCCAATGTAAGGAGATGTACTTGAGCCCGTGCTCATAGAATTGCATTGGGTAGACATGATGAGGTGATTGTTGTGCATGGTGATGTAGTTGAGTTGGACTCAAGAAATGCACGGTGGAGTAGTTAGCTTATGTTAATTAAGGTGCATGGTGATGTAGTCGAGTTGGACTCGAGAAATGCACGGTGGAGTAGTTAGCTTATGTTAATTAAGGTGCATGGTGATGTAGTCGAGTTGGACTCGAGAATGCAAACATATGTGTTAGGGTTGAACCCTATGTATTGTTGTGACTAGGGGTCACGGGATTTTGGAAAATGTTTTATAACAAACATGGGCCTTTGAGCCGGCTACTTGACTTTATATAAAGTAAGTATATATTTTGAAAGGGGTAATTTGAGATTACGGCCTATACTATATTATCACCCTATTTGAGGGTCTTGTGTGTGAAATACTTGTTGTATATCTATTATATGTCTGCCACACCAGCACTTTATAGCCCTATAGAGTGCTGACCCCTTCGGGGGCGTCCCACCACCATTTTTCAGGTTGAGGCTAGAGCTTGCTTCCTGTGCTCGTTGCTCGAGAGATCATATAGGAGGGAAGACTTGGTTCGTGCTTCCTCCATTCTGTTTTTTTTAAACATTAATAAACATGCTCATGGATATTTTACTATAGAGCCTGCGTGCTCATGAATAGCCATGTGTGGCCCTTTTGTTTTAAACAATGTTTTCCGCTGCGTTATGAATTACTTATTATGTTTGTTTATGGATGTATACGTGTGAATGATATTCAAGACGCCTTGTATAATATGAATGTGTTGGACTGCGGTTGACTATTCGTATTGTACGGCGGGTTGTTGACGTGTCCGGATAGGTCCGGGGCGTGACACTTGGCCTATTCATGCATATAACAATCTCGGGAGGTTACCCCACCCCTAGTCTAAACCCAACTCCATCGAGAGGGTTACACAATTTATCATTTGTACTCGTCCACGTTGGACTTACCCACCCTACGGGTGTATTCATTCATTTTGGGCTTACACCCCCAGCATAATATCTTTGATTTATTTAGGGCTTACACACCCCGTATATTCTTAGTTTGTGTAGGGCTTACACACCCCGCGTAATACTTTACTCATTTAGGGCTTACACACCCCGCGTAATACTTTACTCATTTAGGGCTTACACACCCCGCGTAATACTTTATCATGTAGGGCTTACACACCCCGTATAATACTTTATTCATTAGGGCTTACACACCCCGCGTAATACTTTTTCGTGTAGGGCTTACACACCCCGCGTAGTATCCTCTATCTCGTTAGGGCTTACACACCCCGTATATATATCCCCGTATACTCATTGTACACGAGCAATCATAATCTATCAACCTCGGGCTAGTCTTCATCAAGACTCCCCGGGCTGCCTTCATGTAGTCTAGGTAGACTCCACCATTTCCTTTGAGTGTGACCATAGTCCATCACTCATTCTATGTTCATGCCTATCTAATTCAATACTATAGATAGCACATACAATTAATCACTACGGATTCATATCACTTTGATCATGTAAATAACTCAAGTATTCCTTACTTCGCATTTAATCATTTTGCCTATCCACATAGGTATCCATATATCCCTTTTAAGATCTTATGGAATCACACATTTATCAACATTTGTCTATATCATGCTAATCCTCTATATCAATTCAATAATTAATATATTTCAAGGATTTCTCCCCTCATGCATAATGCCCTTGCTTATCCACCTTAGTAATATCATGTATCAATTTGTATGACCACATAGCAACACATTTATTCACATTGGAGTATATCATTTAATTCCATCAAAATCATAATTTGATTACTTAGGTAATCTCATGCTCAACTCACGAGTTATAGACAATATAGTCAGCCATCCTCACCTTAAATATGTCCGGCAAGGTTGCCTATTGAAGCCCCGTCGTTAAACCTTCGATCGGGAATGATTTGAATCAATCTTGGCTGGCAGAGGGCAAAAGCCGCCCGGCTTTTGCAAAAGCTGCCCGGCTTTCGGGTTCTGCTGCACGAAAACAGCACCTAGAAGTGGCGGTTTCCGGCGATTTCGATTCCTATCGATTCAACAACTCTTTTAAGTTAATTACCAACTCTTTATATCATATTTCCACACTTTTAAACGTGTAGAACATCCCCTAGAATCCATCATATGATTTCTATAAAATCATATACGAAAACTATATAAAAAAGGAAGAACAAGAACCGGAGCTACGAGATTCTTACCGCTAGGCTTCGTTTTCTCTTGGATTCTCTTCTCTCCTTCACTCTCCTCTGTTCCTGAGCTCTTGTGTGGGTAGAGAACGCTCCAAGCACTCCCCTCCTCTCTATGGCTCACGTAAAACATCCCCAAATGAGGGGATAAGGAAACTCCCCTCTCTTATCTTCTATTTTTAGAAGGTTGGGCCGATTTAGTTGGGTTCGGTTCACGGGCTACTTTCTTTAATTAATCCGTCCCGAAGCTATTTACAAATTTATCCTCCCGTGGATTATGGTCTACACTTTATACGGAATACCCCGAATTAAAGTGTAGGAAACTCTTCACCCTCATACTCCCTATTTTCGGTAAGTTGGGGAAAGAACGCCACTTTGGTTATTTGATATATCTCGGTTGGACCTAAATGACTTTTATTCATTTATTTATATTATTTTAGGCTAGTGGCCTTAATAGGTCGGTCCTAAAATGTATTGGATGGTCCTCTCCAATATTCGGGCTCATACCCAATTATGTTTCATTTATTAGTAAGTGGACTCAAATAGTCTCTCGTCTTATTTCTTTACCTTTTATTCGGCCCAAACAATTATATTTTACATAGTCCCTTATCCTTGGGCTTTTATTTAATTTATCTTGGTCCAAGAATATATATTAGTTTGTCCCTCCCCATGTTTGGGGTCCGACTCACAATTTATTTAATCGGTATCAATTTAATCAATTAATCATTTCTAGTATGATCGATATACTTGTAACTAGTTTTCAAAGTGAATATATATTCATGACATTAACTAGTTATCCTTATCGAATTTAGTATATGTACTATTATTCTAATTTTTTTTAATAATAATGGATTAATAAATCCAAGTTTTAATTGGGAGCGGTGTCACAAAGATGTTATCTAATTGTCATCTTAGTAACACTCCCCAACATTAATGTATAGAGGAAGAAAATAAATATTACCAAAATAAATCGATACTAGCACTTATACGTAGTATAGGGTAGTAGAGTTCGTATCCACAGGGAAAGGAATAATTCTCTTTTTAGTAAAACTAGTAAATAAGGGGGGTTTTGGTGTTGTTGGAATTTAATTAATTGAATACTAAGATGAAAGACTTATATGAGATTTAATTCAAAGATAAAAAGGACTTGACATTGCTATTTTCCACTTGTTGATATATTTTAGTCGATCATAGTTATATCTATAACTTATTCCCTCTCGAATACTCAATCGAGGAGTATATCCAATTCATCGAGGGTAGCTATTAACAACGACCGTTCATTAATAACCCTTACTATTAGTCAAGTATAGAACACCGCCATATACCGACTTAATAGTAGCATTTAATCTCTTAACTCCTTGATGAAATCAATTGAGATTGATAACCTCAACACAACGGTTTCGGTTTAACCAACAAAATTAATCCCTCTTAAGTTTATTAACCACGACCGTGCATTAATAAACCGAAGTTACTTACTTGTGAAGCCATCAACGATTAACCATCGGTTCGTTGATCGTTTCTAGTAGTAATTAATGTCGAGATGTTAACTAATTGTCATCTTAGCAACACTCCCCAACATTAATATAGAGATAGATTAAGGGAAGAATTAATATTCAAGGAAGAAGATTAAATATGAATAATCCTACTATAATTAATGTCAAGATGTTATCTAATTGTCATCTTAGCAACACTCCCCAACATTAATATATAGAGGAAGAAAATAAATACTACCATAATTAATGTCGAGATGTTAACTAATTGTCATCTTAGCAACACTCCCCAACATTAATATATAGATAGATTAAGAGAATAATTAATATTCAAGGGAAGAAGATAAGAAAATAACTCACAACTTTAATAATCAACAAGCTTCAAGAGCAACACCAAGAAATGGAAGTTTAGCTCCTCATTTGGAGACTAAACATGCTATAAAAATATAAAAGAAATACTATTCTAAACTGAGCTTAAGAGTATGGAAGAATGAGATTCCCATTTGTGAAGGAAAATGGGGTTATTTATAGGTGTTTTCAACACCCTGGGGCATTGACCCGCCCGGGTAAAAGGACATACCCGACCGGGTCAACGTCAAAATCAAATATTTCCCACGTTCTGGCGATCTTCGGCATGTTCTGGTGTCCCGGGTCAAGTCTGACCCGCCCGGGTCAAATAAGTGACCCGCCCTGGTCTAGTGACTTTCTCAGCAGTTTCTGATTCTTTGTCATGCCCGACCGGGTGAAGTATTGTACCCGGTCGGGTTTTTGCTTCTGGGCAGCCAAATCTTATTTTTCTTCACTTCAAAGTCCTCCTTTTCAACACCCTAATTCCTAACTCTACTTTACAACTTACAAATGAAGATTAAAATACAATTACCACTAAAATCACACAAATGTTTACAAACTAAATAAAACGGTAAACAATCCACACAAATCAAACATAAAAACATACACTTATGCACTACTAATTAGTGCATATCAAAGGGCTCGGAAGGGAAGAGAATGGTAAGTCTTAGACATAATTTTACCTTGTTTGGGAGAGTCAAATGAATGAAGTGTTAATAATGGAAGTGTTAATAATTTTACCTTGAAGCAGAAGAAACGAGTAAGGAGAAGAGATGAAAAAGGCAGACCATCAGATCTGCGGCGAAGAGATTCGAAGTGAGATGTCGAAGCATTTTTATGTTTTTAGGGTGAATGAGAAGAGTAATAATTGTCCAACATCTCAAAACACTCCAAATCGGGTGTTAAAAAGTGAACAATTGAGGTGCTGAGAAGGTTAAATTAACACTTTCTAACCTTTACTAACACTTCTTAACATCTCTTAATTTTTCTTCCAAACAAGTGTTAGTATCAAACACTTACTAACACTTCCATTACTAATGCTCCCCAACACTCAATTCAAACAGGCAATTAGAAGTGATGTGAGTTATGACTAAGGACAAACTTGTCCAGATTTAACAAAAAATGGACGCAAAGCAATCTTGGAGGCGCGGAGCTTTTTATATACTCCCCCTGTCCCAAAATAAATGTCCTACTTTGACTTCACACAGATTAAGGAAATGAATTTGACTTCACACTGTAGCAACACTGTTTGGCATTGTAGCAACACTGTTTGACACTGTAGCGACACTGTTTGGCACTGTAGCGACATTGTTTGGCACTGTTTGACACTGTTTAGTATAGATTTGTTTACCAAATAAAGAAATTAAAGAAGTAAGACATTTACTTTGGGACGGAGGGAGTATTTATTTATTTATTCACATTTGTTTTTTTAAAACTATATTTTTTTGAGAGTATACTTTGATTTGGTCCTCCTACTCTATGTACCTTTTTTTTATTAATAAATTGGTAGGGTGTTTGGTGGCCCCTATCCCAAATGGTTCTTTGGTCTAAACCGAGTTTGAAAAAAAATGAAAAATAAAAAATAAATCTGTGTAATACTATCCTTCGTTCTTTAATTCTTGTAACAGTTTGACTTTCACGTTTGTCAACGCACAACTTTGACTGTAATTATATTTAATTATGTATTAATAAACTTTATAAAAGTTGATATTTTGGAAATTCATATTGAAATGAATTCAATAACATTTTATATGTAATAATTTGATAATGTATATTAATAGAAAATCGTGGTCAAAGTAAGATCTCAATACTGCAAAAATGACGTTACAAAAAACTAAAGTAGTTATCGTTTTCTCTTTCCATTTCATGGTAGTTTTTCCGTAGCTTCACGTGCAACTCTTTTACAGAGCAGCCGCGAGAGCAGCCGCGAGAGCAGCCGCCCTCTTGCTGTTCGACGAAATGCCTGAGAAATGGTCTCACACATTGCGGTTCCAAATCTTTATATTCCATTCCCGCAGTTGAATACCCCATATGTCCCTTCACTTGGTTTCGTGTGTAGGCCCCTGTTAAATGTCTGTTGTCCTCCTAAACCTAAAACTCTTAGCGTTGAAGCGGCGAAAGCCATGGGCGTATTTGGAATTCTCCAGAGGAAGAGGAGAAGTGAGGGCTTTGATCGGTGTTGTTGTTCTACAGAGTTGGTGAGTGATGGTGACGGAGAGCTGGAAGCTAGAATTTTGGAATTCATGGAGAAATCGGAAAATTCAAAGGCGTTTCCAACTAGGAAAGAGTTGGAGAAAGCCGAAAGGTTTGATTTGGTTGATGCCATTAGGGATAGAGGAGGTTGGTTTGTTCTTGGTTGGGATTCAGGAAATGAAGGACAGGTAGTAGAAAATGAATCCGAAACCTTGGACATTGATTTTGAAATCCAGAAACTTCTAAGCAGAATGAGTTCTCAAGAAAGTGCACATTTTGCACACAAAGAAATAGAGTCTGCAATGTTTGAAGACAATAACGTCGGGTCCACTGCATTTGATTATTCTTCCCAGAGTGCCCCTCATCCAGCTTATTCCTCACTGGAAATAATGTGAGGTTTCTAATTTGGATTTGCTTTGCTTCTCTTTTGAAAACATACTATTCTTGTTTTACTGAAAGAGTGCATCTTGCTTAATTGCTTTCATTCCTAGGTCATTGAAATTACTATAGAAGTGCTTAATAGTTGCTCAATCTATCATTATTCTCATAAAAGGGATTGTAATCCCTCTCTTTCCTGGAAGTATTTCTATGGTTTTGCTCAAAAATGAGAAAAGGGATTGTACGTGGCCTGCTTGATTTTAAGCATGAAAAGTAAGGGGCAGAGCCAGGGGAAGGGTGATTAAAGTCACTCCAACTTCTACCTTTTCCAAAATCACTATTATTTTCAATCAATATCAACTTTTACCATTTAACGCTTCCTCTATGATCACTTAAATAAATGACTTCAGAAAAGCAAACGTAAACATTGCCTATGTTCAACCCTTTATACTAGGTGACTGTTTGAAACTTTTAGAATGGTAGGGAAGAAAATAGATAGGTGTCTAAACCCTAGTCGTGTTGGGCTTAGCCCATTTATGTACAGAAACCTTAATGCTCTAATACACGGAGTAGCATTTCAATATGAAGTATAATGAATATAATCATATATTTCACATGGTATCAGAGCTAATATGACAAATATAATTTTTTTGAACAAATATGACAAGTATAATTAGTTAGTGTTATAATCTTTCTACCGGTCAGGCGGTCAGGAATTACAGGGAGGAATCTCCGGCCAGAAATGACGTAAATAGTAATCGTGCATGTAAGCCTATCGAATTCCTCAACGCAACATCGCGACTTACCGTCAGAACAATCACCGTCGCTGCCTCATCCACGCGGCGCTGAAGTTCGCACCCGCAACTGTACGGTTTCGCAGATCTCTCTCTTTCTACTCATCTGCCATTGACACAGCCAACCACCTGAAAATCCTGAGATTCCGGCAACCAGAACGATATAGGATAGTGTCGCCGCCGACTGACCACGTGCCGCCGCTGACCGACCACGTGCCGCCGCCTCTACCGCCGCCCGCATGCGCCACTGCCGCTTAGGTCTTGGTGTCACTACTTTGAAAGTACATGCGATGTTTCATTAAAAATTAAACATGCGATGTTTGTTATTGGGCAGATTCTGCGCTCACTGCGTGGCATTTAATAAATCACATGCCTTCCTCAATTCTTAATAATTAAATTCCATATTTTATGTCGCTTCCTACTCGTGATTTATTTCCTTTATCACCTCATGTGTCTGGGTGTTTTTTTGTCCATGATCAAAAAATGTCGGCCAGGTCAATAAAGTGTTTTTTCTTGGATATTGACAGCTCCAAAAGGGTTATCAGTGTTAATCTCCTTTACTTGGGAAATATTTTGTTTCGGCCGATGTCACTTTTATTGAATCTTCCTTTTATTACCCATTATCTTCGTTTGATACGCCCTCGTTTATGGACTTCACCTCAAATCTCCGACCAATCGTTTCAAATACTCCTACTTCCCCCACATCTGATGAGCATCCAAACTGTCCTCCTATGATAGACTGTCCATTACAAGTATACAATCGACGTCCTCGACCTCCTTCCGTTGAGCCTATTGTGGCCATGCCTTGTGATTCCCCTGCACAGATCCAACATCATAACCATAAGCAGCTCTAACACCTAAACCTACTTGGGATGATTTGTCCATTGCCCTCCGAAAAGGTACATGTCAAGGTAGTCAAAGGCGTTAGGCGCACTCAAGGCGACAAGGTAATCTTAGCACTTGAGGCGCAATGCGCAAAAATGCGCTCGCTTGACTCATGTCAGGCGCAATGCTTAGAAAAAACAACACATTCTACTCTTCAACAATCACACATGATGTGCAAACTCACCATGTTGAAGCAATTACATTAAAGAGTCATGTTTCTTACAAATAAAGTCATGCTTCACCAAAATAAAGTCACGATTAAGTGATTAACCAAAATAAAGTCATGACTTATGATTCACTTAAAGTCTTAAACATTAAAACTAGAAAATAAAACATAATTAGATTTTAGTTTTCTAGCCCAATTGCCCATACTAACTGATAAACATGCTGAAACATGCTGAAACATTTTACAACAACAACAACATTCAAGCCTTAGTCCCAAAAGATATTGGGGTTGACTAACATGAATTGATACATGATATCACCATGAAAAGGAAAAGAAAGAAAATAAAGATAAAAAAGATAAGCCATTATGAAAAAGATAATACTCCCTCCATCCCGTTAAGAAGTTCCTGCTTTCCTTTTTTAGCAGTCCCAAAAAGAAGTTCCCCTTTCCCTAAATGGAAAGTTATCCTACATCAAAACAGTGCAAAAACAGTGTCAAACAGTGTCAAAACAATAAATTTTACCCCTGGTAAGTTTATTTCCTTAATATGTGTGTAAGTCAAACTAGGAACATCTTAGCGGGACGGAGGTAGTATAAAAAGAGATGAATATACCTAAACTGCTAAACATGATAAATTAAAAAAGATAAGATAATGATTATATATAAGGATAAAAGGATAAAAAAACAAGAAAAGAAAAAAAAGATGAGGGGAAAAGATAATACGAGATCACTCCTCCACACGAATACCCGCCCTCCACTTTGCTCTCTCCAAAGCCATACCCTCATCTAACCCAAGAAGAAGCATATCACTTCGGACTCCCCCAACCCACGTCTGTTTGGCCTTCCTCTCCCTCTCTTCCCCGCCTCCTCTCCACACATCTCAACTCGTCTGACAGGCGCATCACTCAATCTTCTACGCACATGACCAAATCACCGTAGGCGCGACTCCCGCATCTTGTCTTCAATAGGTGCTACTCCCACCCTTTGTGTGATTGTGTCATTCCTCAAGTGGTCCTTCCTAGTATGCCCACACATCCAACGGAGCATGCGCATCTCCGCCACACTCATCTTTTGAATGTGACATTGTTTCACCGCCCAACACTCTACGCCATACAATAATTGCTGTCCTATAAAATTTACCCTTCAGTCTAGTCGGCATACCTCTATCGCATAGAAATCCTGACGCATTATTCCACTTCATCCACCCTGTTCTGATTCTATGGGATACATCTCCATCTAACTCACCGCCCTTCTGAATTATGGAGCCCAAGTAACAGAACATATCGCTGACCGGTATCTCCTTACCATCGAGAGTAATTTCGCTATTACCACTGCTTTTACCTCCACCAAACTTGCACTCCATGTACTTTGTCTTGCTCCGACTTAGTCTGAAACCCTTGTTCTCCAATGTTTCTCACCCTACTTCCAACTTTTCTTTAAGACCTGATTGCGTCTCATCAATCAATACAATATCGTCGGCAAACATCATGCACCACGGTATTTAGTCTTGAATTGACTTTGTAAGTTCATCCATGACTATGACAAATAAGAAAGGGCTCAGAGCCGATCCTTGGTGCACTCCGATAGTAATAGGGAACTCCGCAGTCTTTCCTACATTAGTACAGACACTTGTAGTGCAATCCTCATATATATCCATGATGATGCTGATATACTTGCGTGATATGCCTTTTCTAGTTAAACCTGATTCCTGTACTGCGTTCTCTGTACTCAACGCCGATCCAGAAGCCAAACCTGATTCCTTCCTGCGAATTTCTTCGCTGACCACCAGATTTCTGACTTCATCGAATTTCAGTTTCTCCTTCTCTGCCAAAGCGCTGACCGCAGTCACCGTTCCGTTCCAGCTTTCCAGGAGAGAAGACAGCAGAATTAGGGCATGAATTTCGTCGTCAAACTTGATCTCAACCGCGCTCAATTGTGTGGTGATTAAATTGAACTCGTTGAGATGCTCCACAACTGCCGTGGTCTGACATCTTAAGGTTAAAAAGACGCCTCATGAGATGTACCTTGTTCGCAGCAGAAGGTTTCTCATACATATCCGTTAATATTTGCAACATCTCCTTCGTCGTTTTTGCTTTGACGGTATGTAGGGCGATGTTTCTGGACAGCGACAATCGCACCACGCTCATCGCTTTCCTGTCCAGCAACTTCCAATCGCTCTCCTTCATGTCTTCCGGCTTATCCTCCAGAGGTTGATACAGATCTTTACCGTACAGGTAATCTTCGATCTGCAGCTTCCAGAAGCCGAAAGCAGTCCCATCAAACTGCATCAACGGTGTCTTCAAATCTGCCATCGTGTTGAACTCTCCCTTTGAACCTAGGGCTCTGATACCAGTTGTTAGGAATTTAACTCACAAACACGAAGAACAATTAAAGAACACACGAAATTTGGTAACTCAGTTTGCCACAGAGGACTACGTCTGGGGGCGCTACCAAGCCAGGAATGTTATTAATATTTTCTAGATGCAGATTACAAGAGAGGAGAGTGGTATTTATAAAGATGTAATGTCTTGTTCCCAAAGCAACATAACCCCTAATTAAATTAGGATGTGTTTCCAAAAATAAATTAAGAAACGTGTTTCCAAGAATAAATTAAGAAACTGTCTCTAACACCTTACAGGATGTCCGATGGATAGACGTTCTACTTCGGGATATTGCATCTTGATCAGTGGAAATCTAATTTGTTAGAAGAGTAAGAAACAAGACGTGGTTGACAGATCCAATGATGAAGCAAAATTCCGTGCGGTGACCCTCGCTACATGTGGAATCTTATGACTGAAACATCTCCTCCAAGAACTAAAATATGGAAGCACAAAACCGATTCAATTATTGTGTGATAGTCAAGCTGCAATGCACATTGCATCAAATCCGGTATATCCTAAGAGGACTAAACACATCGAAGTTGATGGCCACTTTATTCAAGAAAAGATGGCAGCTGGACATACTTTCACAAAGTATGTCAACACAACTCATCAACTTGCAGATGTTTTAACTAAGTCTCTTAGAGGTCCTAGAGTAGAGTATATTTGTAACAAGCTTGGTGCATATGATTTGTATGCCCCAAAATAGCTATAAATAGGTATGAGGGTGTGTGTGAAAACCCTTGCGCTTTAGTATAGGCGTATAGCTATAAATAGTGCTACTTGTATAGCACTTCAAAAAAGCAAACGTAAACTTTGCCTATGTTTAACCATCTGTACTAGGTTCCTGTTTGAAACTTATAGAATGGTAGGGAAGAAAACAGATAGGTAAGTATAAGGAAAAGTTGGAATGAAAGAAAATTTGAGGGAAAATAAAAGCATTTGTTTGAAGTTGATAAATCTATATTTGATATGTATTTAAACCACTTTTACTCATCTATCTGCTTCTATCATATAAAGAATAGAAATCTTGAGGTCTAAAAAAAAGTAAAAAGTAAAAACATCAGTCAAATTTCATTTTCCTTTGCACTTTCCCTCTTAAACCCTAACAAGAAATTAACCTCCCTAATCATTTTCCCCATTCCCTAGCATTTTACCTCTTTACGGGATCCAAACATGCCCTTGAGGTAGCAGAAATCAGGAAGTTGCTGAGGAAACGTATTCTTGATACAAGGCTTTATCCTTTCTTTCTATGGCCTTGATATGCTTGTTTGAGATACTTAAGTTTGTTAGTTTTTGTTGTTGAGGTATTTCTCTCTTTTTGGTTTTTGGCTTAGAGAAACTGAATCTGACAGAAGTGATGGAATTGAGGGGATACTAAGTCGATTAGAAAAAGAGAGGAATTCTTCCCTTGGTATCAATTTTGGAAAATATAAAAAAGGAGATCATGCTTCCAGCATGGATGAACCCAATAATCAGAACAACTCCTTTGCCACTGTTTCTGGTAAGTGCTCCCTGATGATGAACAAGCTATTCTGACTTGGTGCTCATGCTTTTTAGTGACGGTCGTGTCGTGTCATGTCGTGTTCATAAGTTAAGGTTCTTTCATATCATGTCAAGGTGTCTGACTGGAAATTGTAGAACCCTTACCATTGACTTGATAGTTTTTTTAGTTTCAACAACTTGGGGTCTTTTGTGTAGACTACTAGACTGATTGCACCAGAGGCAACATGGCATAGTTCTCTGATTTTTATTACTTCCATTTTGATGTATGGTAATCCCAAGTACAATTTTCTAACTACTTTCTCTGTCCCACAGTAATCACCCACTATTCCTTTTTTTGGTCAGCCCAACAAAGATGGTCTGGTTTCTTAATTGGGTGTGCATTTAATTTCATATTTCCATGTTTACACCTATAGAACCATCAACGTCAAAATTAAATGCTACTCCTAGATAGGAAACTGATCACAAATAAAGGGTAAAAGTGAGAATTGCATGAAAACATTTTAATTAAATGTTTCTTCATTTGTGTCTAAAATGGCAGTGGACTATTTGTGTGGGAGTGTGGGACAGAGGGAGTACAATCTTATTTCATAATTAAGAACTGACCTTGGAATGATCAAATTCAGATCAATAGCACAGAGAATGTTTAGCATTCAATGGGCTGGCTGTAAAGATACATAATTTGAAGTTCTATATTTTAATTTCTTCAGATCACTGCTTGTCTTGAATGTATTCTTATGTTGCTTTCACTAAGTTGACAGCACGTTGATAGGAACCCATTAGTATAATAATAGAAGTATAACTAATATTTGTGATAGGATGTTAAAGGGTCCTGGGCTAGGTACTAGTTAGTATTGGGCTGGCCCATAAGTAAGTATAAATAGAGGGAGAGAGAAAGAAGAGGGAGGCTGTTTAGACATTTGTCAATTGGGACTTGGGAGATCGAGAGCTACTCTCTTTCTTGGGGGCTTCGGCTCATTGGGAGGCTATAGCCTTGGTTACCGATACTGTTCACCTTCTTCATCAATAAAGCTTTTCTGTTTGTTCTTGATATCTTCTTGTAAAACTGTTATGGATTTCTGAAGGTCTCTATCATTGGTATCAGAGCCGTTATTTCCTGGAGACCGAGAATCTGAATCATTGGTACCATGGAGGATTTCTACATGACGCCACAAATGGAAGAAAGAATTGAAAATCTGAATCGAAAGACCAAGGAGATGCAAGTTAATATGGCGACGAATATAGCAGCGATGGAAGCAGCGATCCAAGCTTGTTTTGCCGATTTGCAAAACCAACTTCAGATTTGTTTCCGAAATCGATCGCACACTTCAGGTAGGTCGCATCGAGACTCTCATCATGGACGTACGCAACATCCGATTGAACCAGGGGAATCGGAAGAACAGAGTATTCGCATAAGACCTGGAGATCGGTCGAGGTCCAAGTCGCAGAAGGAATCGCCAAAGTTGCAGACGGAATCGCAGTCCAAATCGCGAACTGTTTCTCACCGGGCGCAGACTTTATCGCATCGTTCCTCGCATCCCACTACTCACCATCATCATTCACCTCGCCATCACCACTCGAGTCACTCGCGAAAATCAGTCGGTTCAGGGGAATCGGAAAGAAATTCCGACCATTCGCATCACCATCGCTCTTTTCAGAACACTTCTCATCATTCTTATCATCACTCTTCGCTTCAGATTTTTTCAACGGGCATCAGTACGCGTTCAAGAAAGAAGCTAGGGAGGGGAGAATCATCATCTTTGTCATCAAAGGACTCTCATAGTTCCCTATCTTATTCTAAAGCTGTTTCTCTAAAGTCAGCTATTTCAAAGAAGGAGGAATTACCTCTGTTCTACGAGGAAGAAGCGTATGAATGGATAGAGAAGATGGAGAGATATTTCCAAACCCACACTATTGCAGAAAGATTTAAAGTGGACCTGGCAGCAAAGGCAATGGGGGAAGCCGCAGATGGCTGGTTTCAATGGTGGGATTTTCAGAAGGGAGAAGACAGTTGGGAGGCTCTAAAGGAAGATTTGATGAAGGAATTTCCACCCAAACGCCGGCCGAAGACAGGGAAGACAGTGAGACGAGATTCATCAAAGTCACGAAGAATTTCCTCCAGTTCGAAATTGAGTACCACAGTGCCCAGCTCGCTAGTTAATCATCATCTTCCATTGTCATCAGAAGGAATTTTTACTGATTTGCAGATGTCAACTGAATTTGTAATCAAGCAAAGGAATAAGAAAGATGAAAATAAGAATGTTCTTGTCAAAAGTCAACAACCACAGAAAGCAAAGGAAATGGTTTTAGGATATTCAGGAGTACATGATGCAGAATGGCAGCCATGGGTTGAGAGCCTACCTGGCTATTCCAAGCTTGACTTGCAGAATCCAATTAAAGCACCTGAAAGTTATCTCATGAGAGGAGATCTCTTTGCTAAGGCAGCTTTATTCTTTCCTGATGTTTTTGACTTCTTCACAAGGTTCTCACAGTGGATGGCTCTTAAGAACTATGTTGCTGCCAGAAGGATAGAAACTTTCCAGAGCTCTGTTAATTCTTTTGCCCTCATGCCTTTGGCTGGAAAACGCAAAGATGATAGAAGAACACCTCATAGCAATGAATTTGTGCTCTCCAAATTCATTCCTGGAAAATATGGGGGTGAGGTCAGGAAGTCTTTAACATTACTTTCTGAGGAAGATGGATGGTATGGGGATAAAAATTTGGCCTACATCGGACATTCAGTTCGAAAGAGCATAAGGGATGCTAATGAACATAAGAGTGTCATGATTCTATCCTTGGGCTCCTCAGGTATGGGACTGAAGGGGGCTGATAATGTTACTTTTGGTAGCAGTGTTGAAGAAAAGGTTGATGACATAAATGAGTTTGGTGGGGTGAACACTCTTAAGGAATCCAATATGCTCATTCTTATTCTGCCCGAAGTTCATCAGGATCCAGTCCCTGGAGCTCGTTCTGTGGCGGCAAGAACTACTGGCTCTCTTATAAGGGAACAGAAAGAAGAAAACTTCCTAGACTTGGGACTTTGGCGGTTAGATAGTCTGAAACCGCATGAGAGCACTGTGGTGCACAACTGCTGTCGGTTGTTTAAGTTTTATGAGAATAATCCTGCTATTACAAATCATTCTGTCATTGATGCTAGCTGCCGTAGAGAAAAATGGATGAAAAATGGAGATCTTTTCATAGAGCTTGTTGCAGACAAGGAGTTGAGCAACTTGAGTAACACTAAATCTACATCCAGCACATTGATAGTCTCAGAAGTTACAATCCTTGGGGAGTCTCATGAAAACAGGGAAACACTTGTAGCTAGTGAGTGCTTGAAGTCTACTGCATCCATTGAAATGGTACTCGACATAGCTTCTGCAACAGCACCATTTGTGATTTTGAAGGAACAAATACTGAAGCTTCTGGTTCAGCAATCTGGGAGATATTGGGAAGGAAGAGGCTCCAGGATGAAGAGGAAGTTCAAGATCAAAGCTGTGTCCTATCACCCACCTTGAGGACAAGGTGGTTTTTCAAGGGGGGAGATATGATAGGAACCCATTAGTATAATAATAGAAGTATAACTAATATTTGTGATAGGATGTTAAAGGGTCCTGGGCTAGGTACTAGTTAGTATTGGGCTGGCCCATAAGTAAGTATAAATAGAGGGAGAGAGAAAGAAGAGGGAGGCTGTTTAGACATTTGTCAATTGGGACTTGGGAGATCGAGAGCTACTCTCTTTCTTGGGGGCTTCGGCTCATTGGGAGGCTATAGCCTTGGTTACCGATACTGTTCACCTTCTTCATCAATAAAGCTTTTCTGTTTGTTCTTGATATCTTCTTGTAAAACTGTTATGGATTTCTGAAGGTCTCTATCACACGTGCTCCGTATTTCATAATAATGAAGTGTGTAGTTCACACGAAAAAGTAACATGAGGTTCTCACATTTTTCTTTCATCAAATTTATTACTCCCTCCGTCCCGCTATGATTGTCCCATTTTACCATTTCGGTCCGTCCCACTAAGATTGTCGCATACCTTATTTGGTAAAATTTGTGTGGTTCTAAATCATTTCTACTTTATTCTTACTTTATCAATTCAATATCAACTACATAAACCCACTTTTATTAATAACCGTGCCACCTTTTCTTGTCCCAAACATAGGGGGACGGAGGTAGTACAATTCTTGTTTCCATCATCTGCAATGGAGCCAAAGGTTCATTATTTTTTGGCTTGAGAATATGATGGAATAAAGCAAAATGGCTCACTAAACTGTCCGCGCTTCTTTGTTATGAAGTAACAAACAGTCCATGCAATTTTGGACACGATTTTCACTATGAGTCATCCAGAAACAGTCTCTCTGTGCTTTAGTACAGGGGTAAGACTGCGTACATCCGACCCCCCCTTACCCCACCGTAAGTGGGAGCCTTTGCGGCACTGGGGTAAATGAAAATGAAAATGAAAATGAAATGAAATTTATTACAATTCTTAAATCTAAGTTTTACAAAGCCACAAGGAACAACATGAACAAGTACTATGTGAGCCGCGGCTTCCAAGTCCCGACTATTATAGGGTTTGTTTTCTTCAGAAAAATTCTCGTCTTTTTGGCTGTGTCCTTGGAGTGTACAAGCGAATGACTATTGTGGACAAAAGGAGAGTTGGCAAAAAAAATGGGGAGCAGGCGGATGCTGTGCAGCCCCATGGTCTCTAGTCCTTTTGGGAAGAATCACCATGAATCTGGTTTTCCAATGGTAGCTTGGGTGCTTGACACTGAGGTTATATAGATTGGGGACTCCTATCTGATGAATGTTCAAATGTTGTTTTGCATGAGGGCGTGAGGCATAAAAGCTTCTGGTGTAGTTTAGGTGGCAGAGACGTACGCGTTGGGACTCCCTGTTGAAGTATGGAGTGTTCATTTTTATGCTCTCTGTTCTTATAGGGGTCATTCCTTTTTATGTCTTAGAAGGATGCACATTAGTTTCACTAACATGGTAATCTTGCCTGTTAGATGGGTCAGCAGCCCAACCAGTCCTATTTAGGGAGGTTGTTTTTCTGTCTGATCATATGATTGGATTGCCCGTTTGGCATGGTATTGTTGTTTTTCTTCTCTTTCAGTTTAATTTAATACTATCTCCTTCTCGTTTTATGTGTCTTGTTTTGGTTTGGCACAATTACTAATAAAGTTGTTGAAGAAGTAAAAGTTGTGGTTAAGATTTGAGTATAATAAAGTGAAATGCCGTGGACGGCATATTTCTTTCAAAAAAAGAATGTGACACTTATCATGAGACACCCAAAAAGGAAAATAAGACAGGTAAAATGGGATGGAGGGAGTATAAGATTTTACGTTCAAAAAAATTGCTCCCACTGAGTTGTTGATTGATTAATTACCCAATAATGTGTAGCTGCTGAGGTTGATTTTAGTCATAATAGAGAAGATGAAAGAAGAGTGTCAATAGATAGTGTAGATCCTCCGGCACAAATAGCTGTTTACGGTTTGCATGGGCAAAGTGGTAACAACAATAATAGCATTAGAACTCGTCTTCAGCACCTAGAAATTGCACTTTCTTCTGCCCTTCAGTTGCTAAGCTCCAAAAGTGATGAAAACGCACCAAGAGAGGTGGGCTGGCTCATTCTTGTATCATGTAATTAGACAATTATATGCATGCAGTAATTTTCTTTTCATATATTTACCTAGACTTGCCGTTTTTCTTTTTAAAGAGCATCAAAGTAATTGTTTTTTTTTATTACTCATCCGTCCCATTCTGAGGTTCTCACTTTCCTTTTTGGGACGTTCCATTTAACGGTTCTCATTTCTATTTTAGGAAACAATTAATACTCTTAAATGACAATTTAATCATCAAGTATTAAAAATAATACATCTAAAACATCACACTTATATCAATGACCCCATTAAATTATACTCCCTCCGTCCCATTGGACTTTGCCAACTTTCCCTTTTTGATTGTCCCAAAAAACTTTGTCACTTTCTTATTAAAGCAATTAATTTGTGGTTCTGCACATTTCTCTCTCCTCTGCACAAATTTCAACCACACAGTTTTTACTATTCTTATTTCTCACCTACTTTGCATTTGGCAAAGTCCAACGGGACGGAGGGAATAAAACCATCAAAATTATTTCTCAAATTATACTCGAATTACCATATTTAATTATTGTCTAAATAACGGTGTCATTATGCAATGAGAACCTTTGAACGGGAGGGATGTTGTACTTGTTAAGAACTTCTCATACGTTTGAGCTTTTGATTAATACATGATGCATCATACATCTGGTATTTGATTTTAGTTTTAATTTTAGAATTTCATTATTTTGTTTAACAAAATAAAAGTATTTACCAAAACCAATTTATATTAGCACAATAATTGATTGACGTTGTCTTGAAGTCGGACTGTTACTCTGTATATAATTCTACTTGCATAAGTATTGCGACATATTTAAATATTTATACCATTGAATGAAAATAAGGTCTTTTTTCATTGAATAGACATAACATAGCTTTTTCTAGATCCTACTTGGACATACGTTATGTTATTTTTTTAAGAGTAAAAACAAGCTTTACTGCATTCTGTTATGTTTACAGTCAGTCTCCATCTTAGTTTTCTGGTTTATCTCCCATTTATGTGCTATACAACAGCTCAAGGTGGAAATCTAAAGAAATCTGCTTTCTTTAAAAAAAGTAATTATTGCGATGTTTCTGCTCGCGATTGAGATGTAATTATTTTGATTCTTTTTTTTTAATACAATGACTTCACCTGTTTATAAGGCAGAAGACATGGGTCATTGAATGTTGAATAATAGAGAGAAATGTTTTTCTTCAGTTCTATTATTACGATTTGCTTTGAAGTGATTGTAATTGGTGACCAGTATAATGACATATTAGTATTAATGAAGTAGCGGACGTAGGGTAGCTAGAAATCATAACAGGTTTTCTAGTCTTCAAGCAAACTGACCCAATAGGTGAATGGTGAATAAATTTTTAACTTTTGATCAGCTATCGGGCACTAAGTTATGAATGAACTTTCCATTAATGTCTTTCTTTAATAGCAAAAATTACACGGTTTTGGGCCAGTGGTCTTGATAAATGGTTTGGCGCAATATTCCCCAGGCTACTGAAAGCTCTCCCAGTGATCTGCATAAGCTTTCTGATGCATTGGAATTCCAGGAGAATGAATTGATGGATTCTCAGGAGAGATTGAGGTCATTACGCGCAAATCTAGCTTTGTTTGAGGGAAAAATGGGATTAGCAATCATGTATATATACTTCACTTAATTCTTTTCCCATGTACATTGGAATTATAGATACACTCATACACCTAACTTACTAAAGCAGCCACGCTTTTCAGTGATACCCAAAAGGTGGTGGAAGCAAAGCAGAAAAGGATCAATGGTGCTCATAAAGCTTTGCAAATTCTTCGTGATGTCCACATTATTTGGCCCAGTGCTGCTTCAGAAGTTTTACTCACTGGGTCTTTTGACAGTTGGGCAACACAGGTTCGACCTTATTCCACTTATTATTATTATAAAGTTGCTTTTGTTTTCCTTTATTGAAGCACATTGGTTTGAAGTCCAGGGGCACACCAAAACTCCCACAAATTCGAGTTTGGGCTGGGCCACTAAAATATCAATCATATATACCTTCAAATATCACAAAGCTTTCTTTACTTATCCAGGTAGCATCATCACTAGGTTGCCCCAACCATTTGACCAATAACTCTTCCTTAGTTGCCCCTTTGTCTCCCCCCGTTCTACTAGCCAATATGTCTTCAGGTTCCAACACTGGCCCCACAGGCAGTTCCAAGCTCTCCGGCAGCTCACTCTCTATCGGATGATCACCCACCACCTTTCGCAGCTGTGATACATGACAGATGGGGTGTATGCGGCTGGTGGAAGGTAGCATTAGCCGGTAAGCTGTCGGCCCCACATGTGCTTCGACCAGAAATGGCCCATAAAATTTGGGTGATAACTTATGATGATTACAAAATACTGCAGACTGTTGATGAGGTCTGACCTTCAAAAATACCTTATCTCCAACTTGAAAAGTCATCCCGCGACGGTGTTTATTGGCCTGAATAACCATGCGCTGCTGTGCCCTTGTTAGGTTTTCCTTGAAACGGACCATCATAGTATCCCGACTGCCGAAAACATCTGCCATGACAGCCACCTTGCTTTCTCCAGGTAGAAACTGGCGAATGGTCGTACACCATTTCTGCCCTCTGGAAAGCCGTATTCAAGTTTTTGAAAGGCGAAATCGGGCCCCGAGGCGTTCGGTGGTAGCCTCACAAGGCGTAAGCCTGAAAATTAATTGCTTAAATGTTAAACAATATCGCAGCTAAACAAAATCACAATTAAAAATAACATAACAATTAAATATCCAAGTCAAAATAACATAAAACTGAAATACCAAAGTCAAAACTCAAAAGAACATAAAACACTAAAATTCCAAAACAAAAGAATATAAAAGCTTAGAGATTTAAGTTTGCAAATTGAAAAATCGAAATATATTCTTCTTGTTTCGGATTTGGGATGCTGAACGGGTCCCATAGTGCCTCTCAAGGGTCTTCCAAACTGCTGCAGATGTGCGGGTGGAACCGACCAGGGGTTTACACACCGAACTCAGGGAGGAGATGAGGGCGTGTCCGAGGAGCCGGTCTTGCCTAGTCCACCAGAGATGGCCAACAAAATCACTCTCAGGCGGCAGGGCAGCACCTTCAACAATGTACTGGTCAAGATAGTGTCTCTCAAAGGTCTTCCAAACTGCTGCATATGTGCAGGTGGAAACGACCAGGGGGTTACACGCCGAACTCAGGGAGGAGATGAGGGTGTGTCGGAGAAGGCGGTCTTGCCTGGTCCACCAGAGATGGCCAACAAAATCACTTTCAGGCGGCGGGGCAGCACACCCACCAGTACCTTCAGTGATGTACTGGTCAAGATGGGAGCCGAATAGGAGATCAAGAACATGATCGCGCCATACCAAGTAATTGGAACGTTCTAACTTTTCTGGAAAGTGACTGATTACAGACCATCTGGGGTGAGGGGTGCAACAACTGAGGTAGAAGGTTAATAGAAGTAGTAGTTTGGCTGGTAGGGAAGCTGTCGATTTCGAGGTCTCCTTCCTAGAGGAGATCCTCAAGTCAGTTGTTATTGATGCCAGTTGTCATATAGGGGAGGGAGGGCTAGTTAGAGATCGAAGGCTCTGATACCATAAGGAATAAAGAGGAGAAAGTTTTGAATATATTTCTGCACACTTCAATGATTTACAAGAGCTCTTATTTGCGTTAGATGTTTATACATTCTAGAAAAGGCTGCTTGAGAAATGAGAAAATCAGACAAAAAGTGAGTGTGATACCTATTAAAGATAAGATGCGAGAGTCTCTACTGTGGTGGTTTGGTCATGTGCAAAGTGGAAGGAGAATATTCATGTGGAGGATTGATTTCATTTTATTCCCTTTAATCTTTTTTAGCTTTCTTATGTTCTTTATCTTTTTATCTTTTTATTTTCTCTTTTTTATCCCTCTTTCTTATCAGTTTTATCGTTTTTACTTATCTTTTTTTTTTTTATCTTATCCTATCTTTGTTTTCCTTTTTATCTATCTCTTTTAGCTCCATTTCACATGTCGATTCATTTTAACCATTTCAACTCTTTTGAGACTAAGGCTTATGTTGTTGGTGACTTGGTGTTATTGTAGTATTCTCCTTTTATACAGATGGAGAGATTTATCCTTCATTTAGACATGATGTATTGATGTGTGGTGTTTTGTTGCAGAGGAAGATGGACAAGTCAAGTACAGGTATTTTTTCTGTGTGCTTAAAGCTTTATCCAGGCAGATATGAGGTACGTTGCCCCCCCTCCCTGTGATGTCAGTATTGAGTTTCTGTATTACCTTGTCTCTTTTATTGAGAAATTTGAGAAATTACACGAACACTAGTCTTCGTCAGGTCAAATGGAATTAATTCTCTTTTGGACAAAAAGATGTTGGGAATATGTAACAGGAGCCTAACTTGACTGTTAAACAATATGATCAATTAACAAGAACCTAACTCCACTGTTAAGAGAGTGCAAGGAAATGAGAAGAAACAGATAGACATTCGAATTGAAGTGTATTATTCAATGAAGAAGTGGTTTATTTATACAGACTATAGCTAGCTTCTCAACCGAATGCTAACAACTTTTTAACAGTAATATGCAACCGTATACCAACTACCAACTAGAGCTATTTATTTACAAAGTCAAAGCCACTATTACATTCCTCCTCCCTTAGAAAAATTGGACTTGTCCTTAAGTCAACCACTTATCCATTGATATCAAACTCAGGATACTGGTCCATGAATGACTGAGCGGGTTCCCAAGATGCTTCCTCAGCTGGAAATCCCTTCCATTGCACTAACAATTGCACTTGCACCTTATTCTAGAATTTAACACTTCTTTAGTCTATAATTTTTTCTGGCTGAGGTAATAATTCTGCAGGTTGACCCTTAAACCAAGCTGGAATATGAGTAGCCATAGATAGATCCCCTCTGAATTTCTTAAGCTGTGAAACATGGAATACATCATGTATTTGTGAATATGCAGGCATTTTCAATTTATAAGCCACCTTCCCTACAACTTCTTTAATGTGAAATGGACCAAAGAACTTAGATGCTAGCTTCTGATTGTTCCTTGGTTGCACAGATTGCTGTCTATAAGGCTGCAGTTTTAACCATACCCAATCATCTATGGAAAACACTTTTTCACATCTTCTTTTATCAGCCAACTATTTCATCCTTGATTGAGCCTTGTTAAGATTTTCCTTGAGCTTCCTTATCATCTCTTCCCTTCTTTTCATTGATCTATCCACAGCCTCAACTTTGGATTTTCCTGGCAAATAAGGCAGATACAAAGGAGGAGGTTGATTATATATGATCTCATAAGGAGTCATTCTGCTAAAGGCAACCATAGACTCCATTCTTTAGGGTTTATCACTGCACATGCATCTCAAATATACTTCCAAACATTTATTCACTATTTCTGTTTGACCATCCGCCTGCGGATGATAAGCAGATGATAGATTGAAACTGGTTCCATGTAAAGAGAACAACCCTTTCCAAAACTGGCTCAAGAAAATGGCGTCTCTATCACTCACAATAATCTTGGACCAGCCATGTAGCTTGAATAGTTGAATATATTGTCCAAGTGAGCTTGAGCTACTTCTATTGCAATAAATGGGTGACATTGGCCACAAAATGAGCCCCTCCTCCCTGTGATGTCAGTATTGAGTTTCTGTAAACTTGTCTCTTTTATTGAGAAATTACACGAACACTAGTCTTTGTCAGGTCAAATGGAATTAATTCTCTTTTGAACAAAAAGATGTTGGGAATATGTAACAGGAGCCTAACTCGACTGTTAAACAACATGATCAATTGACAAGAGCCTAACTTCATTGTTAAGAGAGTGCAAGGAAATGAGAAGAAACAGATAGACATTCGAATTGAAGTGTAATATTCAATGAAGAAGTGGTTTATTTATAGACTATAGAGCTTCTCAACCGAGTGCTAACAACTTTTTAATAGTAATATGGAGCCGTATACCAACTACCAACTAGCTAGCTATTTATTTACAAAGTCAAAGCCACTATTACAGAATAATTTGATGTTAGGAACAATTTGTTTCTTTGGACGGAGGGTGTACTCTAGCGAGTGTTTTAATATTTCATTTTAATTGCAGATAAAGTTCATTGTTGACGGAGAATGGAGGATTGATCCTTTACGCCCCACCACACAAAACCACGGACATGAAAATAATCTACTCATGATTACATGAAAGTTAAGCCCGCCTTTGAAATACTTATTATTTAGTAAGGTCTTATTAAGAATTCAACCTTTGTAGGTGTGGGTAATTAGTTGAATAATCATTATACAATGGAATGCATTCCCAGTGCCAAGAGATGGACTCCATGGAAAGTGCTTTGCATGGAAACAACAAAATGCCCTCTTAGAGAATGTCATCTTAATGGTTTCTTTTATTATTTCTGTAGCACAAGTTTTACTAATATGAAATTGTTCTTTAAAAAATACTATCATAAAAGTATAAATTAGTTAAAATACTATCATTAATGCATTAGTTAAAATAATTGGTTAAAATTTATCATCTTTGACTAGAAAAGACATAGATGTAAGGGTCGGCGATAGTAGTAAAAGTTGATAATATTTTAGAATAAAGAGGATTAAAATGAAAAGGCTTAAATACGTTTTTAGTCTTTGCAAGTATGACACACTTTGTTGTAAGCCCTTGCAATTTTTTGTTTTTTATCCCCTGTACTATGCACTATTTTGTATTTAATCCATATCTAAGTATGAAACTATTGTACTTACAAAAAAGTTATTGTCAGTTGTAAAACTAATTATACACATTTTAAAAATATATGTTAAAAACCTTCTAAAGAATTAGAGGAAACCTATTAGTTGAGGTTATTTTGAGGTCAAATGGAGGTTGTTATCATCGATGATGGATTAAAAAAAACAATATAAATTGGAGGGATGAAAAAACCATTTAAAGGACAGACTTAAATACGTTTTAGTCTCTGCAAATATGGTACACTGTTTTAAATCCTTGCGATTTTTGTTGTTTTTCACCCTGGTACTATGCACTATTTTTTATTTAATTCATATTTGTTTCTGAAACCAATGTACTTGAAAAAAAAAATTGCCAATTGAATAAATTTACTAGAAATTTTTAAATCTGTTCGTTTATAATTTTTTAAGACTTAAATGAGAATTAAAACAATGTAAAATTAAGTATACACATTTTAAAAGTATATATTAAAAACCTTCTAAACATAAGATTTAATACAGTTTAAAATGCATGACAAAGAATTGGAGAAAATCAATTTGTCGGGGTTATTTTGAGGTCAAATAGAGGTTGCTATCATCGATACGATGGATTGAAAAAAAAACAATATAAATCGTAAGGATGAAAAACATTATTTTTACAAGATGTAAAACAAATGAACTATATTTGTAGGGACTAAAAATATATTTAAATAATTAATATTATTAGGTGTAGAAAATAATATGCGAGATAAGTACCCAACTTGCATACGTAATATATATATGTATATGTCTCGAACTTTATCTAAAAATTTATTTTCACACCATGATTGTTATTTTCTTTGTTACAAATACAAGTTTATTGGAAAAGTTATATAATTTGAAATAATCATATCTTTGTTAAAATGCAATTAACATTCTAAATTTTCATCTGTGAAACAAATAATATTACATGTTGTAACATTTAATTTTAATTGCATTCTTATAAATGTAGTGTATTTTAAATTATGTACTTAACACTGTAAAATTACACTTGTGAAAAAATGTAATCATGATGTTAACATAACTTTTTATATAAAGTTTGGAGTATACATATCTAAGACCCTTTCATAGTTTAGAATATTTAAATTATTATCTCCTTAATTCTATTTAGGAATAATCAAACGTATGATCTTTTCTTCAGAAAAATACGTTCTATTCATACAATAAGCAATGTCCTCATTGACACTTCCCTCACATGAAATTCAGATGAGGTTACCAGTATAGGACCATAGGTGTGCACCAATTCGAACCGGACTAGAATCAGAACTAGATTTGCAAAAAAAATGGAAATAAAAAACCGGAGTGGATATATTCTGATTTTGATCCCGAACTGGACCATTTTAATCGATTGAAAACCAAAACCGGACTAGGAAAACCAGTTTCTAAATTACTAATTTAATTTTCCTAAATAATACAACTAATTTGTTTAATAAAAAAAAGGTATTTGCTACTAATAATATTACTATTACTATTAGGGTTGGACTCAGGCTGGGTGGCCCGACCCGGAACCGGCACTGTTCTGGCCCGGCCCGGTGGCCCGGTCAATGACCGGTTCGGGTAGGCCCGACCCGCTGGGGTTCCGGTCCGGGCTCGGGCCCCTCAAAACGTGAACCGTCCTGGCCGGTTCGGGCCGGGTCCGGGCCATTTTATTTTTTTCTTCTTTTTTTTTTTTTAATTTTTTTTTAAGTTTTTGGGTTGGGCTGGGTATTTTGGGTCATTTGAGATGGTTTGGGATGGTTTGGGGGTGAGGAGGGGTGGTTAGGGGTTAATTGGGAAAAGGCAAAAAAAATGAACCGAGGCCCGGCCCGGGCCGGACCCGGGGTTACCCGGGCCGGACCCGGGGTTACCCGGGCCGGACCCGGGGTTACCCGGGCCGGTTCCGGGCCTCCCCTTTCCTGAACCGAGGCCCAGCCCGAACCAGGCCCGAACCAGCCCGGGTCCATGCCTAATTACTATTAGTTAATTTGTATTAGTCTTAGAGAGCAAAGATTGAAACAATTTAAGTGTAGAATAGTAAATATTAGTTAATTCTATTATCAAGAAAATAAGCACAAAAAGATGAATAAAATATTAAGTAACACACTCGCATTTATTAAAAATTGTCTCTTAGCTTGTATTTTTGTTATATACATCTGGGGAGTGGGGGCTACAATTTTCTCCTGGAACTGCTTGCTGCAAGAACATAGAACAGTCATTTGTACACCCAGCTCGGTCAAGTCAAAGCTTCCTCCTCAGTTGATCCTTGGATGTGCTCTCAAATATCTTGTCGGCATTTCCTACCTCGAAGCCATCCCGCCGGTGAAATTCCCTAACCTGTTATAAATCCATATGTATGGTGTTTGAATAAAAATTAGAAAACTAAATAGGTAGCGAAATCCTAGGATGTACTTTTTTAATAACTTCTGATCAATGGACGTAGGGTGAGGGCCCCCCATAAAAACTACTCCCTCCCTGTCCAAAAGAACCAAAAAGTTAGCTTCGTTGTCATAATAAGAAAAAGTAAGATTGTAGTTATTTTTCTGACTGTATTGGCTAAAGTTACTGTACGTTTTAGCTATTTTTACATATAAATTTTTCATTATTCTATTAATAAATACATTTTAAAAATACTTTTTTCTTAAATCAACATACTTCAGCCAGAACTTCATAAATTTCAACAGAATCAGCCGAATCAGCCGATTTTCGTGTTACCAAACAGGCTGATTAATGATTTGCCAAAAAAGATTTAATGATTTGCCAAAAAAGATTCACGTAATATCATTAATTTACATGTTATTCTCTTCATCTTAATAATTATGTGTATTACTTTTGCTTATACTAGTATTATTTAATCAGCTAGATAAAAAACATTTGAAACAAATCATACTACAAAGGTCCAGACCAAACCATACAGATCCAGGCAACATCAGATGCCATAAAGATAAAAAAACATTCATTCCAGGCAAGATAGTAACAATCCTTCACCCAACATTATGATGTACTGAACTGCTGATATGATATGGGAATTACTTTTTTGTTGAGTGAATTCTAAAACGCATAATTAATTGAGACTTTAACGGGTGTATGTAGACTTACATCTTCCTCCGGTAAATCTTTGTATTCAGGCAAGACAAGACGTTCAGCAAATTCAATGTATGAACATGCAACTGTTTCAGTATTCCCGTCCGAAAACTGAAAAGGCGCAGAATCAGCAACTGTTGAACTTTGTAGCAGAAGACCATCAGGGCTCACTGGCAGGAAGAGAAAAAGAAATTGTTAATTTGTCCTCTTTCAGTATTTGGAGAAAAATTTAGTACTTTGACCAACCAATGATGTTTTCTTTGTGTAACTAGTGAGTCACGTAAACAACTTGAAGCCCACTTTGAAATATGGCGAAACTTTAGTGTTTCGGACATTGATTACCTGGTGCTCTTTACTACGTTAAACACCAAGCCAGCATAAAATTAGTAACACACAAGAATGATGATATAAAGGAACAATGTAGATTGTGTTGGGCACAAAATCTAAATCTAAATGTTGCCTAAAGCAAGATATGAAGTATTGAAAGCAAAAAGCCTATGAGGCCATTTGGTATATGGATTAAAAATGCGTGAAAAGACTGAATTTGTAAGTATGCTAAATTAGTTAATTCACCCATACTAAATTGTGTAAACAATTTATTTATAATATAAGTCAAATAAGTTCAAGACAAACCTATCTTTATCTTTATATCATATAAAGTAGCAAAGTCTGCTACAAGTTTTGGAGGCAAAATTGCCACCCAAAAGAGGGATAAAAATGTAATATATACACCACAAATATATAATCTCTCCAAGCCCATTATTACGTTCAATACGTTGTGCGTTGAAAGTTTGAAGCGTGTGCAATCATTTTACTTAAGGATCATTTATTTTATAATAATAATAACAATTGAATGCTAACCATTTTTAAACACATTCATCTTTATATCAAATAATATAATAATAACGTTGAGTGCATATGTATGGCAAGAATTAGTTATTCATTTAGTACACCAAGAGGCAAGAAGGCAAGAATTACTCCCTATCTGGCAAGATCAAATGATCAATACGTGTATGAAAACTTTAATACACTAAGAATTACGGAGTATATGGTAAGATTTTAGAGGCAATTTTGTAGCACGAAAATCGGCTGATTTGACTGATTCTGCTGAAATTTATGAAGTTTTGGCTGATTCTGTAGATTTAAGAAAAAAATATTTTTAAAATATATTTTAATAATAAATTAAAGAAAAAATTTAATGTAAAAATAGCTAAAATGGTCATCTAAAGTAACTTCAGCCAATACAGCCAGAAAAGTAACTTCAACCTTACTTTTTTTTTTTTGCTTATTACACAATTCAACGTCCGAAAACAAAACTCGTGTGTTTGGTAAAAAAGTTGGCTGATAAGTATGATAAGTTGGGAAACGGTGTTGCCACAACGGCCTCTTAATATGTGTTTGAAATCAATATATATTTCAAAATTCATATTTGAATCTGAAAAAGGAGAATAATAATACATTTTACACTAATCAATAATTTAATATTTGTACGGCAATTGTTGCAAAAAAAAAAAAAATTGTACAGCAATTAGAGTGACTGTACATGTAACATTAACTTAAAGAGAAAGTTTCAACTACATAATATATGGCAAGAATAAAATTGATAGAAGGAAATAAATTTGTAATAATTCAATTCGTG